GAGAGAGAGAGAGTTCATGTAGGAGAACTTGTATGGAGATTGAGCAGAGGAACACTACTCTATATTTTAAGTTAGTCTTTTTAGCACCGTAATTTAACGGGCCGAGGAACACTGCTCTATAATTTAAGTTTATATGTTTAGCACCTGTAAGTTAAATTTATATGTCAACCTAGAACATCATAGGTTTAAAGGGCTGGTTTGTTTGACGGCACGGCGAATGCCCTAAAGGATGGAAGTAGTGAGAAAAGATATAGAGACATTGAGGGTGTGGCCCTTGATAGAGTGGAATGGCACAAGAGGATTTGTTTAGCTGGCCCCAAATAATTGAAAACAGCTCGGATGATGATGATGATGATGTTTAGCACTAAAATTAATGGTACATGATTACTTAGCCCCCATTTCTTTTGTTGCATCTAATTTATGGTGTTCTGTATTATGGGCTAGAGCATGAATTGGATTACCACCAAAGTTTACATTCAAGAGAAGGCTGCACACTAAACACTCCAGAGAAAATTGATATTATGATTTATTATTACTTTTATTTTTTTGGAATTTGAGCATCTTAACCTAGAGTTATCAACCTCGGATTCTTGAGAAAGCATTTTGATCGAATCGAACAATAACTTCCCTGAAAGGAAGAAGCACCATATCCCAATAGGATGAAGTACATTAAAAAAAGGCTTTCCCAAATGGAGGAATTTTTATATTTCATCTATTTTGTCATACAAGGCTTCAATCTGTCCCTTCGTTTCCTATGCTTACTTTTGATTTGGACATAGTATAAAGATTGTGAAGGTTTATTACATCATGATGTGTTCACGAGCTCTTGTTTTCTAACATATTTTATGAACTCTTGGTCACAAGTGGCATGATTCTTAATTGGCAATTTATTGAACCTTGTAAGAGTTTGATTTTATTGGTATTGCTCCCCTACTAGCACTCATCTGTGCAATTCCCTGATAGTTTATCTTCTCTTTATTAACATGGTGATTATGTGTCCTAGACACTACAAGACTCTTATTGGGGAGCTTGGAGCGAAGTCTTCATCACTTACAAAATGCTCGCTATGGTTGTGGCTACTTCAGTAGCTTTTGCAATTCACCACTGTTTGACATCACCGACTTAACGTAAGCAATATTTATCCTTAAATGTGTGGCTTGTGATCTATCACGCCTTATTTCATTTCAAGTTTCTCTAGTAATGATTTAGATGATTTTTCATCATATATGGTCCTTTTCCTTTGGAACTTAATCATAAAAGCAGGATTAACATTGCATAAACGACATATTTATTTATTTGATTACTTGATGTGAAATGTTAATTTTGTCTAGCCAGTGCTACAAGTGTTGATTATCATTTTCGTGTCTAATTTCTTATTTGTTGAATAGTAGTATGGTATTAAAAAAAGTGTTGCCAGTCAGTTTCCTCACCAATTTGTAATTTGTTGTTGTTGGATATCAGTAAGAACTGTAAACAAGTAAAAAGAAAATAATTGTGATATAGTTCGATCAGAAGATATCATGGTGCTTTATCATCTAAATGTATATCTCAACTCTCATCTTTTCATTTTCTTTTCTTGAAAAGATCAAACTATAAACATAATTTTCTCACTCTTGAGCTGATATCGTGTCCATTGCTGTGTTCTTATCAAAGAGTATAGTGCTTTTGATAACTTAAATGTATTAATTTTTCTTTGTTGATATTTGTGGTAATTGGTCTCCTCACCGGGCTTCAATCCATTGAATCACCAATATAGGAAAATCAACAGCATCAAACTTACAAGCCAAAACCTACCAATCCACATGTTTCACCTTCTCCAAATTCAAGATTTGTAAACTATATGAACTTATAATATCTCCAAATCCAAAAAGTTTGAAAGGGCTATCCTCAAGACAGGTACACTGAGTTGTGATATTTAATAACTGCTACTTGAGAAGACAATGCAATAGGTTTCTAAGGAACAGAGATTGCACTGTAGTTTGGGTTTTTTTTTTGGGTAATTATGTAGTTTGGTGTTTAATTTCTGGTTCTTAGCTTTTCTATAGATTTTAATCATTTTTATCCTTCACCTTTGTAAATCTGTATAATTTTTCCATTAATGCTAGCTATATGGTGTGATGGTAGGATCACTTTAATGCATCTTCACACATTTTATTATCTTCCCTTTGCTAGCATTTATAAAGCAAAAAAGCCTCCTTACCATTTGTGCTTCTATGTCATTTATAGACGTCCTCACACATGGTATGCACGTGCTCGGATGAAAAAACGGAATGTTATTTTGCACGTTGGCCCTACAAACAGTGGTAAAACATATCAAGCACTGAAGCGGTTGGTAAAGAGCTCCTCAGGTATATCATAGAATATGCTATTCTATGATAGTCGACCTTGATACTTGTTTACATGCATGATATGTAATAGCATGTAGCATGTTGAATTTCTGGGAACTTCTTAATCAAATTGTTACTCTTTGTTTGATTTCATTATAGGCATATATTGTGGACCTTTAAGACTCCTTGCTTGGGAAGTGGCCAAAACGTTAAACAAAGCAGGAGTTCCTTGTAGCCTGGTGACTGGACAAGAGAGAGAGGAGATTGATGGTGCTAAACACAAAGCTGTGACTGTTGAGATGGCTGATGTAAATTATGATTACCGATGCGCAATAATTGATGAAATTCAGGCATGTTGTTTGGGGATACTCTGCTTTTCCATTCTTGTGTTAACTCTGTGGCCCGGCATGCTATGTAGATTTTCTTTTTAATCATACACGAGTCATCTAGGTTCTTTGCCTGCCTTGATCACTGTATTATCTGATAAACTATCATTCACCATGTTTTCGGACGTATAATGTGGAGTGTATTTGTGTAATTTTTTTCATGTTGGGTATCGTGTTACTTGTTTAGCTGAGGTGCTACATAATAACTATTGGAACTTGATTGAATGATACCTAATAATATATGGAGGTTTTCTTTTTGATGCTAGAAGTTTCCGCTTTCGTAGATAAGGCAATTCAGTTGTTAGGCATGCCGAGTTCTTTCTATTATTTGCAGATGCTTGGATGTTCAACGAGGGGTTTCTCGTTCACACGTGCATTATTAGGGATTTCTGCTGACGAACTGCATTTGTGTGGGGATCCTGCTGCTGTTCCACTTATTCAGGAAATCCTTGCAGTTACTGGTGATAAAATCGAGGTAATATATTTATTTAGTAGATATAAGACTAGATGTTATTTCCAGTCACTTTGGATTTGAATTTCTGATTTCCATTTTGTCTGGGTGAAGGCCTCCTAAACAACTGAATGATGCTTCTACATTACTTTTGTATGAGATGGCATTGTTTGGTTGGAAATTTCACGTGTTAGCTTGCTTACAATAAGTGATCTGATTGTGATTATGTTTGTGTTTGTTTGATCTCTTTGCAAGGTGTCGGATGCATTTGATTTTTTGCTATTGCCATCATGCTCCATTGCACTCCCTGTGTGCATGTGTTTGACATGCATTGACACTGACATTAGTTTTATTCCTATGCCACTCTGAGTTTGTAGTTTTCATATTACTATATCGGCTGGTATATATCTATATGTACACACAGGCATTATGGGATGTGTTCACCCACATTTTAAGATCTCTTATTTGTATTCTTTCAGGTTCAACGTTATGAACGATTATCACCACTTATTCCTTCAAAGGCTCCACTTTGGTCCTTTTCTGACATACAAAGAGGTGACTGTATTGTTACATTTTCACGCCGTTGTATATACAAACTAAAGGTGAGAAAGCCGAAAGTCTGTTTTATTTGACTTGAAAGTTTATTACCAATAGCAGCTCCATATTTCTTCCGTCTTTCTGTAACTTTTCCTAGTTGTTCCTGCTCCTACTTGTTAGACAGTGAACCAAATTGCACACATCAAATCTATAGTGTGAACTGTGGACATACATTAGGAGGCTCTTAATTATAGGTAGGAAACTTTTCTTGCTGTTCGAACATTAAGATCCCATAAAAGAAGATCAAGGTATGAATATTATTGTTGATTTTTTTATTTAATAAAAAAAATGATCAGTTACAAGAATATACATGTCAGAGAAACCTTATGGTATTATCTTTCATGGTTGGTGCATTCTGCAATAGAGCAGACTCTTTTTCTCACTTGGGTTCTGATCTCTTTCTCACCGAGAAACCCTTAACATGGCTTCTTCTCATTAGGATGTGCTATATACCCCTCACACTTTCGATAATCTAAAATTGAATGAAAACCAGGTCGGTGATTTGTCTTCCCTCTGGACCCCACCAAAATCGTATGAGATGTGCTGAATTGCTCTCATGATCAGAACGGCAAGAAATGAGTCTTTCTTTCATTAGAACTTTTTATTGGTTGCGTCCCATACCTTTCATGCCAAGTTGTTCATTGGGTACTTAATAGTTCGTGTAATATAATGAAAGCATGAAAGTATTTCTGTATGATATATTTCTGGTTTTTTTAGTGGTTGTCATTGCATTTCCTTCTATTTCCCTTGACCATGTTTTTCCTCTTATATCTTGCTTTTTGCATGCCCTGATGTGATCATATGAAATTCATATGAAACTTCTTGCTCTTGAACTTTCGAAGACTTTGGTATCATCAGTTATTCTATTTATTTTCTTCTTTGTTTTATCTATACCGTTGTTAATTTTTATGCATGTTTCATAACTTTTTTATTTTTTTTGTTGGATTTAAGTAGAAAAAGATTGAAACATCTGGAAAGCATATGTGCTCGGTAGTGTACGGTTCCCTACCTCCAGAAACTCGAACCCGGCAGGTATGCTGTTCTCACTTAGGTAGATTTTATGTTTTGTGATCCACAGCAGTCGAACTAGTTATATTTGAAATTTTCTGCAAATTAGATAGGATATTATTGGACTTATCATTATTAAAAGGGAAAATTTCGTATAGAACCCTAATTTCTCGTATTATTTCATGGTAGACCCTACTTCCGTTTTTCTTTCAAGCGGCGTAAGAAAACCCTTAAAGATTCACCATACCCCCTCATCTCTTATCTCCCTCTTTTATTGACTTTTGATCAAAAAAATTAGCCCCAACAAATCTTTTTATACCATTTCAACCCAAAAATGTTTTTAATGGTGGTAAAGGGAAAAGAGGGTTAAAAAATTTTTTGATGAAATGGTATAAAAAGTCGTAGGGAGCAAGGCACACAGGGGATAGG